CAGGCTACAAAGTAGCTGTTTGTGAACATAAAAATATTTATAACAAAACTGTAAAGTTCACAGCTCGATTGACTTATGAAAATAAAAACGACAATATATTTTTTGTCATAAGAATTAAACGAGATGATGTAAAAAATGAATTATTTGAAAGATACACTAGTTGCTGATTTATTTTTACCTCGTAAAATCTTTTTTCAGCGATAAAATGATTAATCTTAAGATAGTTTTTAAAAATTTAAAAATTATTCCTGCTCAAGGATACGGATATGGATACAGACAATATCAAAATGCCTGCGGATATCCACCTGTATCCGTCTGTATACGCGGATACGAATCTAATATGCGGATACGGATACCAAGATCAGTATCCGTGAGCAGGTCTGATTATTATTATCTTAAAATATTATTTTTTAATAAAACTATCATTTAGTAAAAATAATAACTTTATTAGCGGAAACAATTTTTTTCAATTTTAAAGTAATCTGACAGCCTTTCTGACAAATTGCAGAAATTTTCGGATTTTTTAATTTAAAAATAAAAAGATCTTAAATAAATTTTAAATTTTTTAAAATATTTTTGTTTACGTAAAAATAGAGACATTAGTTCGATTAGTCTATTTTTCTATTGACAAGAGGGAAATTTAGAACCTTCAATTATTTCACTTGTTTATAATTAAACATTTCCTTGTCAGGTTTAATTAATTTAAACTCAACAAGTTTTTCAGTGTTTCCATTTAGTAGTTTAAAATATTAAATTGTTTTATTTGCCTAATTTACTTAAAAATAAATTCTCGCTGCGAGTTGTTCTTATTAACATTGATAAAGATTATAATTGAAAAGACTACTTGACTCTATTAAATTAAACATTATAAAGAAATTTAACAAAGGTTTTTATTCTTTCATTTCCATCATTAAAAAAATTCCTTCCCCCCAAAAAATATTCAAATGTATCAACAACAATGCATTACAGAACAACCTCAATTAACGAGATATACCGAATTTGCCGATAAACGAAACGAGAATGGAAGGAATAGCTATTGTCCTTTCAATTGTTGTCTATGTCCAGCTTTTAATTGCCCTAGAAGTTGCGGTACGAATTTTTTAAATAACTATATATTGTTCTTAAATTAGAGAATGGGACTTTTGACGCGAGATCTAGAAAAATAAAGTTTTGCAATAATAACTCTCGATTGATATCTTAGGTCTCCAAACTTCTGAATTTTCGAAATAGAATTTCAGAAATTATTCTAAGAAATGCTGATTGATTATCATAAAAATGCCTGATTTTTGAAGTTTATCAACTAAATATAACTTCATGAAGAAGATAGTCAAGGGTGTTAACAACATTATGTAATAGAAAATATTCATTAATCTAAGTTCCGCCTGGCAGTTTTAAGTCTCGCACCAAAAATATCCAAATCCATTATTTTATATATTTTATTTTTTTTCTAGGGATAAAATTCTTATTAAAATTAATGAAAAATTTTTTTTATTTTTAGCTAATTGTTGCAATGATTGTCACCTAACAGATTGTCTGAGATATTTAGGGGTTATCTGTTGTTGTTGCTCATTAGTTTTTGATCTGATTTCTGGCTGTGAAAACTCTGGTTGAGATTGTAGAGGATGGGTGGTTGTGATATTTGTTGTCCATAATGAATATATGAACTTTACAAAATTTCAAATTGTATTATAGTGTAAATGAAGATTAGTTAGGTGTGCTATGGAATAAAGGATTTGAATAATAAAAATAAATTGAATATGATGGAAAAACATTTCTAGAGAAAACATTTCTTTAAGAAATTTTTAAATTTTCGCTTAAAAAATTTATTCTATTCCTCAAGCCCACCATCAAAATTGTTAACCGGAACTTGATTGAAACGTTAAACAAAAATTAAAAAAATTATTTTTTTTATATATTCAAGGTAATAGCCATAGGTCGTTAATATTCTGTACGTTCAATTAAAGTTGCCAGTCCTTCAAGTAGTAGTATATATCGTGCGAGATTTTCTACCATTACCAAAAGAGTGATTGCCGGAGTGACTTCGAAACTTTTGGGTTAATAAGCTCAGACCCTGGCCTTTTAACTAAACCAAAAAGAAATCAACGGATTCCAACTCGGCAAATGAATATTGTCATAACCTTTTGTGTCATCTTGTATATAAAGTGCAATCTTACTGTTCGTGCCAGACGAAGCTTACACGGAAATCATTTTATTATCAACAATAAATTTTGTCTGTTATAGAGTGCAAGTCTATAAAGTGCAAGTCTAATGATGATTAGATAATGTCTGGCATATGAAATACTGACAAAACAATAACAGGCTATATATATAAGAATATCATTCTCTCCTCAAATATCGCCCTTTGATAAAACTTCCTGCTCAAAAAATGATTTATTTCTGCATTTATTTTATTTTCACCATCATTATTACAAAAACTGGCGCAACAAATAAAACATTAACTTTAAAAATAAGACCTTTCATAAATACCAGAATTGATGGATTAATCCCTTTTAATGAACAAAACCATGCCAAATTTGGTGTTCATATGTTTTGTAATGGAGGGAACAAAACCGGCCATTTTGGTGGTAAAAACAAAATTCTTGAAATTGATGCTAATACGGAGAAAGAATTTAAAATGCCTGGAAGTTGCAAAGTTGAGGATGGGCATATTATAATTTATATTTCTCATATTCTTTTACCCAAAACATATGCTGAAGGAAATGATTATAATAATTGGGTAAGGGATATTTTTATTTAGAGGTAAAGGATACGTGTTTTATTGTTATGTTAATGGTTTATAACTAGAACTACTCGATCTAGGCAAAGGGGGAATTGTGGTTAGATGAAGGAAATCAGTGAAAATCCGGGCTAGTTTGATCCAATTATTAGTTTGAGTATGCTTACATATGCATTTTATGGCTAAAAATATAGTGACAATATACACCACAACTACCATCAGCTTCTGATTTGAATATCAACCAGTATAGCGTTATTAGGCCAAGAGATAGCGATCAGGCCAAGAGATAGCCCATAATGAAAGCCTTGAGGAAAGGTTCGATACTAAAAATATCAAGTTATAAATTTCACACAATTATTTATGCCGTAGGACACTAAACGAATTTTTAAAAATATTTATTAATTTAGCCCAGCATTGAATTGGCTATTAAAGATATTAAATATATCCGTACAAGCGAGCCCAAATTAACATTGCAGTACGAATTTGCTGAACAACCTTTTATTCATGAGGATATTGAGTAAAAGGAAGAAGAACAGTGACGATTATTTTAACATAGTTTTTTTCAATCTGTAATAAAGTTGTATGTCCAAGAAGAAAATATTGTAATTGCATTATAAATAATAATTGTCCCATAAATGCTATTAAAAATAAAGTTTATTAAAAATATTTATTAAAAATAAAGTTCATAAAGATGAAGCATTAGATAATTGGCTAAATCTCAGAAATTCATTTAGAAAAATCATTTTATTCCCGATAATTTTAGTTAAAATTTAAATCAAATATTTAACTAAATATCATAAATTTAATTTAAAAAGTCTTCCATTTTTCATAGATACCCTTGTTGTTAGTACTCTACTTTCATGTTTTGTTTATTTCTAATAATGTTGTTTTCCTATTCCCCGAAAAACATAATTTAAATATTCCTTATCAATTTATTTTAAATAGTTTATTTTTTTATCAATTTATTTCAATTTATTTTAATTTATTTTAAATTTCCTCATTGTAGGCTACTTTAATGAGTCTTTATTAGATTTAAACTATTCCCCCAAACTTCTGATTCCCTTTTATCTGGAACATTCAACATTCAAACCATTCCCTCGAAACATTCTTTATCTAAACACTCAAACTTTAAATAAACCTTTACAACTGTCTGTCCATTTTTATATTCAACTCCCACCTTTTCTGACACATATAAATACTCGTTTTTCTCATTAATTTTACCTTCTATTGAACTGTTGCATATCCTGGGAAATATAATCCTGGGCTTGATATCCTGATACAATATTCGAACTGTAAACTTCAGAAATGATTTTACGAATAATGATTTTAAAAATAATGATTTTTGTTGGGTAAAAGGCTACGGCTTTAGTCATTCGGGGTTAGTGTCTGTTAGTGTTATTCTTAGTCTTATTCTAGTGCTTCACATATTCGGCGTCGGCCATATTCCTATTATTCGCTATTATTGTATTTAGTCTTGTAGATAAAGCACAGTTTGTTAGTCTGTCTTATCTTGTTATTCTTGTTAGTACGTAGACAGAAGTCACGTACATAACAATTTTTGTTTTTTATAAATATAAACAGAAAATTTGTGAGTGGTTTTGAGGATGAAAAATTAAAGAGAAGTATCCCTTTTAATTTGTTTGTTCACTCTTATTTTTTAATTAAAAGACAGTTATAGCACAAAAGCATTGTAAAAATATTAAAAGAATTTTAAATGAAAAAAAACAATTATAAGGATATACATTCATCGACATTCAGATACACATTAAGACACTCTAAAAGTTTAAACATTAAAAGAAATAATAAAAACTCTTTATACGCACCAATCTAAAATTTAATGAACTAAAGTTGCATAATTTAAAATCATAAAAAGTATGTAATAAAAATAAAATTTAAAATGACTAACTCAATAAAAATTACCAAAAACAAAGAAAATATGTTAGATAGCTGAAATAATTTTTAAAATCCCCCTACAAAATTTAAAAGAATAATAAATAATCTTATAAAAATAATAACCAAATACGTATTCATTTAAAAATTATTTTTAAATTTCTTTTTTTCTATAAATTTCTATTTTTAAATTTAAATTAAGGAGTTTCTAATTCTTCCGAATAAATCTTTAATTTTTATTTGTACCGGAAAATATTGTTTTTCAGCAAAATTAATTTAAACACAGAAATGAATACTATAAGACAATTATCCCCATACTTTTAATTTAAATATTTTAACATATTTGGCTAATTTTTTACATAAAACCTCTTTCCTAATGAAGTTGTCGATATATTTGTGTTGCAAATAAATAAACAACAACGAACATAATAATGTTCAAAAACACATAACTAAGACAAACAAAATTGTAAGCTTCATCAACATGTTGATTGAATTTGTTTACCTGTTCATTATGTTCCTTCTCACGTTCCTCTTCTGTTTTCTTATAGTAATTATAACCACGTTTTGAACGGCGGTGATGGGAATGATTTTGAGAGGTAGAAGTTTGAGAAACAGAAGGTTGAGAAACAGAAGGTTGAGAAAAGAAAAGAATTTTTTGATGCCATAAATCAAAAATAATTGAGAATATGTCCCAATTGTTAGAAATTATGGCGAGAGCTTTAACATAATACTTTTTTTCATAGTCTTTATACTCCTTAGTCATTGTTTGGTAAATTTTCTTTAAGATAGTTATTCCATTGTCTAAAAATACAGAAAAATTATCCCAATTACTCTTTACCACCATAACTTTCAATTTATTGCATAACTTCTTAGCGGCTGACTCTAACTTTTCTCCCAAAGCTTTATTCTTGTTCTAAAAATTAAAAAAATTTAAAAAATTTAAAAATTTTCTTTTTACAATTTTGTTTTTAAAAAAGTTTAATTTCCCCTCCAAATACTCAAGATTATTTTTCAAATCTTGCTTCAATTCCTCATTCTCAATTGAATTTATCTCAACAGAGTTTATCACTTCATCAAATGTAATTCCCTTGCTCAAATAAAATTGAAACAGAAAATAAAATGAAAATAAGCAAAATTTTAAATTCATTTTTAAATTCTTAAATTAAATTAATATTTTTTTAAAAATTATTTAAATAAAAAAAATAAATGAATAAAATTAAAAAAATAAAATAAATTTTATTTGTGATGAGGGGAGAGAGAGAGAGAGAGAGAAAATTTTTGCTTGTCATATAATTTTGGCAATCAATTTAAATATTTCTTAATAATTATTAAATGTAAATATATGTACATATACATCTCAAAAGATCAACAAAATGATCAAAATGCTTTTAAAATTTAAAATTTGTTTTAATAAATGTTTTAAAATTATTTTTTAATCTCTAGTTAGACGTTTTATGGCTCCGAATCTACTCCTGGAGCAACCCACCCATTGACTTCACTTGTAATTTCATTTAGCGTTAAAAGATGGCAAGGAAACTTAAGATTAAGTTACCTTTTAAAATATGTACATATATCGGAATATGTTCAACACTATGATTGAAAACAAGAAGGTAGCAATAAGGAATTAGCGGGATTTAATTTGTTGAAGTGCATTTCTATTGAACTGTCTTATCCTGGGAAATCACTGTATATCCTGATCCAATATTCGAACTGTAAATTTCAGACGATTTTCTGACTAATGGCTTTAAAATAATGATTTTCTGTTTTTTATAAAAATAAATGAAAATTTGTGAGTGGTTTTGAGCTTGAAAAATAAAAGGTATACCTTTTCAATTTGTTTGTTTACTATTATTTTTTAATTAAAAGGAAGTTATAGCACAAAAGCATTGTAAAAATATTATGAAAAGTAAAATGAAAACAACAATTATAAGGATATACATTCATCGACATTCAGATACACATTAAGACACTCTAAAAGTATAAACATTAAAAGAAATAATAAAAACTCTTTATACGCATCAATCTAAAATTTAATGAACTAAAGTTACATAATTTAAAATCATAAAAAGTGTGTAATAAAAATAAAATTTAAAATGACTAACTCAATAAAAATTACCAAAAACAAAAAAAAATATGTTAGATAGCTGAAATAATTTTTAAAATCCCCCTACAAAATTTAAAAGAATAATAAATAATCTTATAAAAATAATAACCAAATATGTATTCATTTAAAAATTATTTTTTAATTTCTCTTTTTTTATAAATTTCTATTTTTAAATTTAAATTAAGGAGTTTCTAATTCTTCCGAATAAATCTTTAATTTTTATTTGTACCGGAAAATATTGTTTTTCAGCAAAATTAATTTAAACACAGAAATGAATACTATAAGACAATTATCCCCATACTTTTAATTTAAATATTTTAACATATTTGGCTAATTTTTTACATAAAACCTCTTTCCTAATGAAGTTGTCGATATATTTGTGTTGCAAATAAATAAACAACAACGAACATAATAATGTTCAAAAACACATAACTAAGACAAACAAAATTGTAAGCTTCATCAACATGTTGATTGAATTTGTTTACCTGTTCATTATGTTCCTTCTCACGTTCCTCTTCTGTTTTCTTATAGTAATTATAACCACGTTTTGAACGGCGGTGATGGGAATGATTTTGAGAGGTAGAAGTTTGAGAAACAGAAGGTTGAGAAACAGAAGGTTGAGAAAAGAAAAGAATTTTTTGATGCCATAAATTAAAAATAATTATGAATATGCCCCAATTTTTAGAAATTATGTCGAAAGCTTTAACATAATACTTTTTTTCATAGTCTTCATACTCCTTAGTCATTGTTTTGTAAATTTTCTTTAGGATAGTTATTCCATTGTCTAAAAATACAAAAAAATTATCCCAATTACTTTTTTCCACCATAACTTTCAATTTATTGCATAACTTCTTAGCGGCTGACTCTAACTTTTCTCCCAAAGCTTTATTCTTATTCTAAAATTCAAAAAAAAAAATTTTAAAAATTAAAACAATATTCTTTTACAATTTTGTTTTTAAAAAAGTTTAATTTCCCCTCCAAATACTCAAGATTATTTTTCAAATCTTGCTTCAATTCCTCATTCTCAATTGAGTTTATCTCATTCGAGTTTATCACTTCATTAAATCTAACCCCTTCACTCAAATAAAATTGAAAAAGAAAATAAAATGAAAATAACCAAAATTTTAAATTCATTTTTAAATTCTTAAATTAAATTAATTTAAATTTTTTTTAAAAAATTTAAATAAAAAAAAAATAAATGAATGAATAAATAAATAAAATAAATTTTATTTTTGATGAGGGGGGAGAGAGAGAGGGAAAATTTTTCCTTGTCATATAATTTTGGGAATCAATTTAAATATTTCTTAATAATTATTAAATGTAAATATATGTACATATACCTCTCAAAAGATCAACAAAATGATCAAGTTGGCTTTTTTAATTTAAAATTTGTTTAAATAAATGTTTTGAGTTTGTTTTTTAATCTCTAGTTAGACGTTTTATGGCTCCGAATCTACTCCTGGAGCAACCCACCCATTGACTTCACTTGTAATTTCATTTAGCGTTAAAAGATGGCAAGGAAACTTAAGATTAAGTTAACTTTTAAAATATGTATATCGGAATATGTTCAACACTATGATTGAAAACAAGAAGGTAGCAATAAGGTTTTAGCGGGATTTAATTTGTTGAGGTGCATATATAGATTTGATACTTAGGGGTGATTTATTAAAAATAATAATAATATTCACGTGAAAAATCTTAAAAGGGCAAGATTTATTAGAGAAAAATTTTTATTAGTGCAAAAACATGATATGTTTAATCATTGCATGTAAAGAATTTTTTTTATAAAAATTAGAGATTCCCAGAAGAACAACAAAGGTTATTCAGTAAAGTGTTCTTATTGTTTTTGTGGGGTTTTACATACGTCTATGAGTCATCTGATCTGGTTTTTAAAGCCAAATTTATTAATTTTATTAGCATCCAAACTTAAGTTTCAATGCTAATAAAATTAAAAAATATTAATAAATTCTTGGATTTGGAGATTAACGTTTTAATTTATAAAATAAATACAACCTAGGAATTAAATTTTTATTAACATTATTTAAAATTTCATTTTTATTTGACAGTCGAAAGAGGAACATTGTTTATGAGGAATTTAAAAATATACTTGAAGCTTTTTTGCTAAACAACTTTTATCAACAGAGAGCAAAATTAAAACAAAATTTTTTAATTAAAATGAATCTTTATATTTAAAGCATCAAAAAATTTTATTACATATTTCTTTCAATTTTAACATTATAAATTGCTATGTTTTCATCAAAACGATAGACCTCGTCAATAAAAACAGAAAACTTCATTTCTGGATTGTATTTATTGGAAAGCTGATATTTTGTTGAGTTTAAGTTGTTGCTTTTAACTTTGATTTCAATATTTTCTGCTTGTTCACTTAAAGTAAGAGGTCCACGAACGCCGCCGAATTTAATTAATTGCACAATTTTTGAAATATTTTTTGATGTTTCTATATGCTAAAAAATATTCTCGTAAAATGTGAAGTTGGATACATATGCGTTAGGGTTTCACCGAAGTTTCGGTTCTGGGCCGGACACAAGAAAGGGTTCGGGTTCTGGTTTCAGGGTCCTGAACTCAAAATGTATCCGGTTCCGATCAAGTCGGTGACTTATGTCATAACTTTGTCAAATCACGTTGATTTTAGTGTCATTCAACACAGCTCGACGAGTTCTATAACTTAAGATTGACTGACCATTTTTTAATACTTTGAGGAAAGAAAAAGGAGGGGGGGGGGGGGGGGGGAGAACGAAATTGAATATAAACAGATTTCGGTTCAAGTGAAACACTAATATGCGGGTGAATTTATGGGTAAAGCTATTGAATCTATTATGTATTTTTGGAATAGATGTAGTCTTAATGTTCTAGCCATCAGTTTCTAGTTTTTTAGTAAACGGAGTTAAATACTACCCGTTTCTATTAAAATATAGTCCCGTTCATATACATAAAAGACCTTTACTCATAGGCACCTGAATAAGACGATTGTAGTAAAGCCTTGAAAAGTAACTAAATAAATAATTAACATAGACAAATTTCTTTCCTCGAGTTGTCACAATTTTAAATAAAATATCCAAATGTTGGTCTATACCGTTTAATTCTCGAAAATAAATATTAAATTGCTTAGAAATCAAATGCTTCAATGCAAATTGTAAAAACAATTCTGTATGATTATTGTTAATGTGTAAGGCAGCTTTTTGAGAATGAATTTGTAAAGATATTTTAGTTTTGTTTTCATCAAATAATAATTCAATCATTTGAGGATTGAATATAATGAAATTAAAATTTGCCAGTTTAAAAAAATAGTTAAATATTTGTTTGAAAAAATAACGAGCAATTTTCATGTCTTCTATAGTTTTTGGATAGTCTGGCAATCGTATATTGTAAAATTCTAAAATTTACTGATTTTCGAGCCTTTAGATCTCGATGATAGACTACACTATATCCGTCAGAACTCCGTCCAGGCAAAACTTTGTTTTACCAAAACTTCGTCCATAAATAAATCTATTTTTTTCCATAGGGTGAAGTCTTTTAGGCGTGGCCGTGCAACGTGAATTATAGTTCTACTTATGGGAAAATCATTCCCCGTTGTTGGAACAACCTTCCCTGCAGTTTGAACTTGAGTACGAATAATCGAAAATCCGAGATCCCGTGACGGGATTTTTTTCTAAAGGGCGACCGGGATGGGATCCCGCGAGATTAATTTCTAAAAGAATTATTTAAGTTTCCCGAAAATCCTGTTCCTCGCTTAAAGCGAGGAACAGGACCCAGGGCTTTCCTCGCTTAAAGCCCTGGATCAATATCGGATTCATTTTAAAAAATTGCCGAACACTAGGAATTACAAAAAGAACCTGAACAAAAATTCACAAAACCATAAACTGTGTAAGGAACAAATTTTCAACGGTGCTGGAACAATCATTCCCGTTGTAACAGACAATATTACTCGTGCCAAAAATATCCCAAACCTTGAAAATTCATTTTTTCCTTGGACAAAGTATTATTGGCCGTACAAAGTTTTGGCTGAACAAAGTTGCCCTGCC